TCTCCTGTTTGCAAGAGATCATAGGTTTTTCCAGATTTAAGGCATGGTATCTGTTTTGGTTTTCTGATCTGTTAAAAGAACCTGACAATGGATTAGGACTAACAGAAAACTTGCTCTAGGCCTCTTGGTGTAAACTGTGAACATGAATGAATTTATATTAGCCAAATGCAGTCGAGCCATCCAAAGCAATATTTGGTGCAGCACCAGGGTGGATATTTCTGAGCTACCTTGTTCTGTTCCAGCTCTGGGCCCCCTGCACTGCACTCTGTTGTACAGCAAAGATATGACAAATTCAGGCTTTGAAGATTTTGCCGAGTTTCACATCAATTATGTTCCAGATCAGATTTCTTTTTGCATTAACAGTCACTGCCCTCTGATTACTGCTGGAGCCCATTCTTGAATAGTTCTAATGATTTGCCCAGTTCCTATTCATAATCATGTAGCCAAACTCCTTAGTTCAGTAAAAATAAAATAAAAACAGATCCACAATTTACAATCAGCACATCCATTTTGTATTTTAAGAAACAGATTCTACACAGATTGTTCAGTGCAGCGAAGCACTATTCATGATGGAATAGCACAGAGGCATTTCCCACACTACAAGCCGGGATCTTTTAACTAGACTCAAGGGATTGTTATTCCCTGGCCTGCTTTTCCAGCTCAAGGACATGGTGGAAAGAAGTTCAGCCTGAGAAACCCGTGTGGCACCTCGCATTCGTCGGCAGCTTTGAAAACCTCACCTTCAAGGCCAAAACCTGCACTGTCCTGGAGTCAGCCCTGACCTCTCAGTTGAGACGTTGTCTGCATGCTAGAGCTAGCTCACAGAGAGTTAGGACATAAGGCATAAAGGCACTCAAAATCCAGCTTGCTCTGCTTTGCTACTGGACGTGTAGTGGCGGAGCTAAGAGCAGCCACCTGGGGAGGTAGGATGGAGAAGCCACTGCTTCCTAGCATCATCCCCAACCCACTGCGCTCCGAAAGAGCTTGAGGAATAGTGTCAGGAAAACTTGCTGCAGTGCTGCCAGAACTCAACGTTTGCTACAGAAAAAGGCCTTTGGTCTGTAGTTCTACTCCAAGCCAGCAAGCATTACAATCACTCCAGAAGTGTTTAAATAATTTTTTTAAGGAAGAGAAAAAAGATTTTATGCTGTGAATACGGGGGTGCAGAAAGGGGCAAAGAAAAAAAAAAGCATAAAAGTTAACTAAAAATTATTTCCTGCATGAAGCAGTTATGTAATATGCACCTAAAATATAATATTGGTAGGAAATCAAAACATGGATTTCTTTTATATTCAGAATGAAAGTCTTCACTACAGTATCCAGTAGCTGGAATCACTAAATGACTGTGAATCCATGTTGGAAGTGGTTTTGAGGTTATTTTAAAACAAAGGGAAAAGAATAAAAATCAATGAAATACAATGGTTTGGAAAGACTTTTCCTGGAAGAGAGATATAGCTTTTAGGGTATTCATGATCCAGTGGGACAAGTACTTCTTCTACTGCTTTGATAAATGACCTCTTTTGCTGCTTCAGAGTCAAAGGGAGAGCCGCTTTCCAGAGTGAATGGAGCTGGGTGAATCACATGGTCTATGGCAAGCTCTGGAGTGCCTAGCGAATGAAGTCATCCAGACGGGATTAAACAGAGTTACGTCTCCGTAGCAGAGCCTTGTTTATGGAAAATGAGTTTGGGCGATTGGCTTAGCCTAAGGACATACTGTTCTTTTTTACCTAGGCACATACGGCTTTCTTCAGTAAAGTGGTCCTGTCCCAGGCAGCAAATGTTCCTGGTTTTAGTTCATAGAGGTGGAGCTTGGGGGAAGGAGGCTGGCCTATCTGTGCCTCTGATTTCCCAGAGCCTTGGCAAGCTCCTCAATATACACAGCAGCCTGTGCTTTTTTTTTTTTCCTAATGAAATCCTACACTTTTTGAGGTCCCTGTGTCTTTTCCAAATGAAGCAGCCAAGAAACACATGAAGCATATATCAGCTACAACTAGAAAATGGTGTTTTAAAATTATGTTGGTATTTTAAAGCATAAATATTCCTATTCATATGCATCTAAAATGCACAAATGCACCAGCTGTGAGATTTTGCCTTTACTTCAGCTTATGAAAAATTCCAGGGGATGAGGAAATCTAGAGCACAAGAATGGTTTATTTTTATACCTATTTCCCTTGTCATTTCCTTTTCCCATTCCCGTCCCTCTGAGAAGAACCAATTAACATGAGACATTTTCCACATTCATTAGTATCTTCATTAAAAAAAAGGCAGAATCGTTTCAAGACTGCTATTTTATGCCCAGTAAACTATAATAATGTTGCCTGTCAGAGTGCAGCAAACAGAGGAAGCGCTAAAGATGTAAAATCTGTGAATAAATAAAACTGTTAAATTTTGCATCTGCACCTGTATCAGAATGGAACAGATGCCATTACAAAACAGCAGGTTGCTAAATAAAATGTACTTTAAGAAAGCAGGTTAGTGGCCATAAATGAAAAGGTGATTGCCAGTGCTGTTGGAGCTAGTTGCTGGAAAAGAACCCGATTAGCACTTTTCAATAGAAGAACAAACTGTTGTGACTTCAGCAAAACTCTTTAACACTATCAGGCATGTAAGGAGTCACCAAAATGTCACCTGGGCTGCATGCCACAATCAGAGCGGTAGCACAGGCAGGGAGACAGGAGTGCCCTGTCTGGATGCCATCCAGGCAGTCCTGGACCCACAAGGCATCTGCTGCTGGTACTGCTGCATGATCCCCTTCTCCCTCTCCCTCCTTCCCTCTCTCCTCCTGCCATTTAGAGATGCCACAGCCAGCCTGCCATGAGCACAACCAGTAGCAGAGGCAGGTGATGGGGAGGAGCACAGTACACGTTGGGGGTGAGAGCTGGTCCCTTCACGTGTATGCTCTTCTCACCTGATTTGGCTGGCTGGGGATATTGCTCTAGGCCCAGAATGCTCCTTAGATGTATGCTCGAGTTTGGGCCTGATGCTTTGCTCCTTTGCTTCTTGGCCTCAGTAGAAAAACACAAAGTCAGTAGCAGTGTAGGAGAGAGTTACTTTTGCTGTGTACATATGGTTGGTTCCCTGCCTTTTATCACTGTGTTTCTGTGGGCTATGTTATGAACCATTTTTTCATTATTATTATTTCTAATAATTTAGTGAAAAACACTAACAGGTTCTTGTCCACTGCTCTTTTTCTTTTTTACTACTGAGGGGGCTGGAACTGGCTCAAGGTGTCCAGCCAAAATTGTGTATAATATCCAGAAGTCCTCAGATGGCATAAGACCAAGGTAGCTGGTTCTTACACCCACTCTTCTTAATTCTTTGCTATGGAGATATGAAGTCCAGTGCAGATTTTTCCTGTCCTTCAAAGACTTCTCAAATGATGTAGGGTGAACACTGGACACCAACCAATAGTGTACATTGGAGCAACCCCAACAAGATTTTGGTTTAAGATTAGAAAAGCCTGTGCATCAGCAATATGTCACACTTCCTCACACTACTCTCTGTATTCTTTCCTTCTTGCCATGCTCAGCAGGTTGTCGTAGAGCTATCGGTTCTCGCTAGACTGGCAGCAACCTTGCTCTGACCCATTTATCCCAAAGGGCTCTACAGTCTCTTGCAGTGACAGTTGCCCAGCACAGACAGGTCTGACGCTATTTGTTGGTGAAGTTCCAGCAACTTGCTCTGTAATTCCTAGCTGAATCTGCTTTTTCCTGTTACTAGGGTTTTTAAGTTGCCAAGCTCAGCCAGCATTTCAGACTTAGGGTTTTATGGCTAAAGTCAAGTACAGTCAATTCTGAAAGGAACTCTAGGGTCTAGTTGCTGCTTGAATAAAGTGACCGGATCTTTAGTAGCTCCATCTCAACTATTAAAGGTAGAGGGAGAAAGAAGGGGGAAGGAAAATAAAAGCATTTGCAATGGAGCAAAACTGTCACCCCAGAAATAAAGTGAAAGAACCTTTCATAATTCTTAAACCGGTCTCACCAAACCTCTGGTAAGGTTAGAGAGGCTTTTTGGTTAGATGCCTTTAGTTCCCAAACTCCTGTTTCTTCAAGACCCCACTCAGAAAATTCAGTGTGTTGCTATGTGAAAGATTAAATTTTTCCTGACTAAATTATCAGGAAAGATTACAACTGCCTTCAATGACTGCTTGCAAAATATTGTTCCTCTTGGGGAAAAAAAAAAAGGCCCCATTTTTAAGGAAAGGGCTTTGCATATGACTGCTACACTGTAGGTTTAGACATAGATAAGAGAATTCTAAATGCAAAATTTAATATGAGAAACATCATAGCTGTTTGAGTTCTTGACAGGCACAATATGAATGCTGAGTTTCTGATCTTCATCACAAACAGCACTGAATACAGCCTCCACCTCTCAGTCATATTTGCTGAAGTAATTTAGTATCTGTTATCATGTTGCCCAAATGGTTTCATTACACATAGAAGACAAATCTGAGCCAAGTATCTCAAGCATCTTTCAGAGTTTGGAAGCACAATATCTTATAATAGAAAGCATTTCAGTGTCAAGAGTGCTGCAAAAATCTCATGCTTAAGATTTTTATGTATAAGACGGTTTACCTCAGAAATTATGTTTAGCTTTTTAAAATAATATTTTTCCAATTTTAATCAGCTTAATTCTTCAATCTCCTATACTTAAAAATACAGGAAACAAGAATTAGACAATGGATAAAAGAGCTCATAATAACTAAAACAAAATTTCCTCCCATGAAGTCAGAGATCTGAACCTTGCAGGAATATCAAAGTATTGCATATATTTTCTGTGCACTAAACTAAATATTTTAAAATACCATAGAGGCTTTTAAAAATAAATACCTTACTTAGAGCACTATTCCTCCTAAAAATATTTTTAGGAAGCACAATTGTGTTTCTGCTTTCTATATTGTTCAAAAGAAGAAAAGAAAATCTGATGAAGCAGAAGCCAGAAAACAGAGCAAACGCTGTAGTGTTCCTGTAGAAAAGTAAACAAACAAACAAAAACCCACTATGGGCGAAGATGTACTGAGCTATCCAGGGTGAGATTGCAATGGCAGTGAAGGGAATCACATATGCCACATTAGGAAAGGGAAACTAGATTTAAAGCTAAGTCAATCCCACTACACAGAATAAAAAAAGATAACCTAAACATTCACAGGCATTCTGTTGGATTTACTTCTCCCTGCCATACATCTATGGATTTCAACGGTTGATTAAGGATTTGGGAGGTTTTTACATTTTTATGGGTCTGCTGTTTTCTTGGGGATATAAACTCTCTCCTTGACAATATACTGCACGTGAAAGATGGATGCTTGCAAAAAGAAATGCCAAACGTCCTCAAGCCAAGCTTAGAGCTCTGCGTTTCAGTGTTGTCCATGGAGCTGGTTGTACAATACTCACCCTGCTCTAATTGTTAGTGATATCTGTGCCTGTGCAACAAGCAAGATGAAGTGATAGAGCCATAGCACCTTACATGAAGAAAAGATGCCTAATAGTTGTGAATGTTTTCTAAATTATTGAATAACAGCTGAGACTCTCTCTTCTGATGGCACAGGCATCTTTGCAGTGGAAAGGTCAGCAATAAATGTTACCCAAAACAGTATTTAATTAGTGCAGGAATAGCTGCAGCTAAATTTTGTGAGCCTTTTGTCTCATGAATTATGACTTCAGGTTTGATCCAGCTCCTACTGAAGTCAACAAGAGTCTTTCTGTTGACATTCGAGAGAAGCTGGATATAGATAGACCTGCAAAGTCGGTAGTCGTCGGGCAAAACTCCTTTGGCTTCATCTGGAGAAAAGCAGCCCAAAAAGGATGTAAATATTTCAGGATGAAGTTATATACTTGTGCTGACACAGCAGACAGTTTCTTTTTATCTGGACATAAAGAGCATTTCAGCCAACTTCTGGATTTTAGCTGGTTAGAGCAGAGTTTTAAAATTCACAAAATACTGCATTACAAGTGGCAGATGTATTCCTTACTACTGTGAGTCAATGTGAAACACTGGGAAAGTGGGAAAGTAAAACAGCTCGAGAGAACTTGCCATGTGCCATGTTGATGGACAGTCACTAAATGGCTGCATGTTCTTGGGGGTTAACTGCAACTTTGGATTTGAGCATTTTGGCACATCCATGGGTCAGCAGAACTCTAATGCAGCCTTTCTTGGAGTTATTGCATGACTGGACTTGTACAGTGTGAATGATTGATTCAGAGAGGCTGAGCCTCCTCCCTGTGCCTGAGAGGATCCTTGAGAGAGCCATTTTCCATGTTTGCTCAAGTTTCCTGGAGAGATTAAATATGTGGAGTGAGGCTATTACTAGAACTAGTGGATGGGGGTGGGAGAACCTCACAGATCTTCACAGCTAGAAAATTGCTATGGGATTCAAGTTCTCCAGCACAAGGACGTGTTAGGAGTGGGTCAAGAACAAAGGTGTAAACTGATCTCTGAAATCCTCAAAGGGACCAGATGTGATTTAAGTAAATGGACACTGAGCTACCCATGTCTGGAAATAAACACACTGTGTGGGGGAATAGAAGAAGTACGTGCATTGTGGGGATGGCAGGAAATTCAGTTTCCCCACTAGAAGATCTGGCATGTGTTGTGCATTGACTGATGTTAATGAAGCAGACTATATTTTCATCATTGCCTGGTAACTCTGGCTCTGCCAGTGTATTTGTGCATGCAAAGTCTGTGCGTGTAAAAAGGACTTTTTTCTCTATCTTTCTTCACCTTCTCTTCCCTTCAGTGGACAAATCTGGCAGGTGGTTACTGCCTTTACCTCTGCTTCTGCATGACCTCTCCTGAGAACAAACACTGTATATGAAAGCTTTCCCCTGCAAATTTTTATAGCTTTACTAAAAATATTGTCTGTACACACACACTTAAAAAGATGTCTTATCAGCATAAAATAATGTGGAAGCCCTGTTAGAATAAATTACTGTAAGAAAAATACATCCTTTGTCTCCTCACACAACATCAACACATACCACTATTACATATGTGTTCCTGTCTCGAGTCCCACCACAGGTACTGCTACATATGGAAATGTCTGTACATTAGACAGTTACTTACTTTAAGCACCTTCAAAATTACAAGCAAATTTTTAAGCATATTCTCTGCTTCGTCCTTATGGCCCAGTTCCTGTTATCCATCAAGTCTGTTTTAAAATAGGACGCATTTCTGGTACTGCAAAGTCAACAGTGCTGGAAAGTTGGCAGGTACGCTTGTTTAAACAACATTCCCAAGTAGTCTCCTGGCAGGTGTTTCCAGAGTACTTTGAGCACAATTCTTTGGATGGGATATCTGCCAAAGTACATAGCAACAGGGAAAAAAGTGTTTTCCTTTTACCGCAGTTGGGACAGTGCAGTGTTTTAGATGCTGCGCTGTGCATCCATTTCAGGAGCTTATTTTGGCAGAGGGTCAGAGCCTATACAATGGTAAAATATACAGCATCTTCCTGCCTGTTTAATGCAAGTAAGCTCCAGAATACCAACTGGTAGGTTATCTTCCTGGCAATGGGCCAGCCTCTGACATGCCTCTTGCACCGATCCAGTCTTTTAGCTATATAGAAACCCTTTACCTCAGAACTCCTTACCATAGACCGTCATGCTGCAAGGGTTTCTGCGAGTTCAGAACAAATGTTCATTTCATAGCTGGCCAAAAGAACAAAATGGGAAGGGTGGGTGAGGCAGGAGAGGGATCGGAGAAGCCTTGTCTACCTGGCACTGATTTCTGTTACAGCTGAACCTAGCTTTGCTTAATTGAAACCTGTTCTTTAGATTTGAAAAACACACGACTGGTTTTATAATCCTTCTGGCAGCCTGTCCACTTCTCAGTATGTGTTCTAGACCTAAAATTACCTTCTGTATTATCCACGCAGAAATAGTCTCTTAGATATGTATACTCTTAGATACATACAAATGCTCTCTGACCTAAAATAGAAACAGGTATGTGGAACAGTAAACAGACATCAAAGGCTAAAGGAAACATTAACTGAGGGATATGCTGTTTTGAAATTTAAACTTTAATGCTATGCTGAAATAAGCCCTGTTCAAAGACATGGTCCCAGCATGTTTGGTTGTTAAACGAGTACTTAGTAGTCTAATACCAGAGCTGCAGCTGCAGGTGACCTGCACTCATGCAGCCTTGGCACAGGTTATGGAGAGCGCTCTATGGCATAAAACTGGTTTCCAGAATAAGGGCTTTCATCTCAAATCCAATTCTAGCTCTTGGTCATAAAGACCTGGGTCAAACCAAAGCACTTGCATTTTCCTGGGTGTGTGGACAGGCTAACGCAAAAGTTTCAGATGTGACCTACTCCAATCACTTCAGAACCTTTGACCGTTGAAGTGACTGCGTAAGCGTCGGTACTGCCAGTTATTTCACTTGAGCTGTTACTGTGCGTGTGACACAGCTCCGTACTGCCTCCTTACTCACTCACCCCCTTACTCACCTGCCCCACCTGCTATCTAGTGAGCTACCAATACCTTCACCTTTCTCATCTGTAGCTTCTGCAAGTTGGCATAGGTGCAGAAACCTGTAGTACTATGTAAGCTGCAAATGACGATACCATGTGGTAAATACTGCAGGAAGACAAGCAGTGTGGGTGGTAACTTTTTTCTGTTTCATTTTGTAAAAATCTCCATTTTCTATTGAAATTGTCTGGCACAGAATTTTCAGGTTGCCGGAGTAGGCTGCCATCAAATCCAGCTGGCCTGGCTACAAAATGTGTGGACTGGCAAGGACGGTCCCTTGTCCTTTGTAACTGCCAACCTTCCTGTTTCACAGAGCCTGTCCTGTTTCCCGCCCAAAATTCACCTTGGCCTGAGCTAGAGGCAGGCTCTTCTCTAGGGGCTAGGCTTCTCTAGGGAGTTGTGACTCCTCCTTGTCTTCAAAACTAACTTTCAAGCTCTCCTGTTGTGAATATTTTATAGGTGACTATTTCCATTACTTTTCTTTGCCTTTTATGCGTAAGTAGAAGGGGGAGCTTGTTTTTATTATTGTATGTTATGTAAGTCAGAGATCCTGGGCATACGCATACGGACAGGGATGCTGTGGGACCAGGCACTGTGCGAACACGACACAAACACGGGCAGCACAGCATCAGACACCTCCTTGTCCAGGTGTAAGGGGTGGATGAGCAGGAGAGCAGGTGGGCACAACTAAGCACTACAGGGTGGCGTGGTAGGTCTGAGCAGCCCTGCTCTTATTAGACTGTGTCATTATGAGCATTGCAGCAAACGGAAGTTTTCAGCAGGCTTTGGAAGAAAAACTAGCTGTCCGAAACAAAGCACAAGTCATCACTTCAGGGGAGCCCAGCCCAGATAAGATACTTAAGTACTATTATTATGGGGGAGAGACTACAGTACGTTTTTTCTAGTAAGTCCTTAATAAGTTGTTTTATATCACTTTGTGTAGTAACTGTTTTAAAGAATGAAACAAAGAAACAGGAAACAAAGAAAATGTGCGATGGATCCAGGGGAATCAGATATTCAGTTCCTAGTTTTGGTGTTTGGCTTACAAAACCACTTCTCAGTGGTACACATAGATATTTGAGTATTACTGGGGCATTATAGCTGCATTAGCTAAGCACCCTTTTCTCTTACTTTATAGATATAACCTACCTGTCAATCATTTAATATTCTCAGAGGGTGACATTCACTCTGATGCTGGCTCTGTTCCCAGGGAAGAAAGTAACCCAAGAAAGTAAATACAAATGCTTTAAGTCTGGGTGAAGCAAAATTTGAGTGAATATCTCCAGAAATGTTTATAGTATTTGCCAGGCTATGTTGCTCAGATTAACAATAGAGTGAAGAATACTAGTACTAGTACTGCTCATAAAAAAAAGCTATATTCTGAGTTGTTACTGGAATCCTAAGCATTTCCAGGTGTTGTGTATGGATTACAATAGTAAGGATGGAAATTTTCCCAGCCTCCTTTTCCTGGTTGTTTTGACTTTTTCTACACTTGTGGAGCATACTAGACTGACAAGCCTAGAGAATACTCATTTGTCTTGCCACAGATCATATACACTTCTGATGTTTGGGCTTTTCCACTCTGACCTGTGACCATATTTCTTGTTTGACTTGATTTCTTTATGTTGGAGCTGTCTGCCTTCTCCAGATAATGGAGTAAGACCATCACCATTTTCCATAAAAAAAAACTTATTCCATTCAAGTTGCATAAACCCACCATGAACATCAATGTGAACACAATCACTTTCAGTGATGATAATGCTTTCTAGTCATTACCAAAGTAGGCCAGATAAAAGCTAGTGACCTAAAAAACTCACTCAGAATTACCTTATTAATCCTGTAAATCTCTGGATTCCTCAACCAGAAAGTGGACCTGCTGCATCTGACCAGTGGTCAGGCTGATGGAGATTCCTGTTCAAGGGAATAAGGAATTTTTGGTTCCCTAATAATTTGGACTTGGCATATATTTTCAAGCAATTTGCCTTTCACTTCTGGGGTTTCCTGAAAACTATTACTTTTGAAGAAGCTTCTTTTAGCTAGTGAGTGCTCCTGTTGGGGGGTGGGGGGGTGGAAAATCTTTAAACATATGTGATCTCACAGATTTGCATCAGTCAGACAGGGCCTTGGAGATGGAGCTTTGGAAACTGCAACAGAAATTTTGGAAGAAGGTCCAAACCTTAGGGGACACTGACTGCCATTCTTACAGATACTTTTTGAAAGACGAATGTTCCCGAATATTTTACTTCCCTTACAGTTCTGGATGTAACTTTACTCCAATGCTGGCGTAGCTTTCTCCAGAGTGGGCAAAGGTCTTGCAACCAAAATGGAATTTCTGTGAGTG